GAGAGAGAGAGAGAGAGAGAAAGCATGAGATACGTTGCAAGGGCGAAAGGGAGAAGGGAGGGGTTCTTCGATGCTGTAAGACGATGGAAGGGATAGGAAGCGCGCGGAAGGGGAGAAGGAGAGGAAGGAGTGTGCGGTGGCAAAGGCGGCGGCGGCGGTGGCGGCGGAGGGGCGAGGAAGACAGGGTGTCGGGGAGGGGCGGTGCAGGGAGAAGGGAAGGAGCGAGAGAGGAAGAGGTAAAAAAAGGCACGTCGTCCGAGTGGATGCGATACGCGCCGGAGATCGTACGCAATGCCTCTGGCTATCTAGCTTAACTCGTGAAAGCCTAACGAACGTTCTCCTCTTACCGACTACTACGTGAATTTCTGTCGTGCGCGGCGATCGCCTTCTCCGCGGCCAGACACACCTGCGCGAGATAATGTCCCCTGTAATAGCTTCTGCACGAACTTCGACCGCGACCCGTAATCTTTAGGTAGTTTTCAAGCGGCCACGGTGTAAGATTGAAAATCGCACCGGAAGAATGGGATCTACGTGATTTATGTACACATGCATGCTCTCGGGCGCGAGAACGTATGTACGCTCGTTCCGAGTATTTTTCTACGAGTGTGCACATAGGTGCACGTGTGCACGTGTGCGTGCGTGTGCGCGCATGTTTACCGGGCGAAACTTGCAACGGTTCACGGGCCTCGTAAATACGAGATTTATAGTCGAGCGGAAAGTAAATATTTTGAAGAATAAGTAGGCATTAAGGCTTGATAACTTTTCAAAGAGATGCACTCGAGAGAGTATATAAATACGTGAGCATATGTACGTATGTACTCGCAGGCTATGTATGCATAGCTGCGCGATGTTTGAATGTTACGTAATAGGCGTAGTAATATTGCATAAATGATTGAACGAAGATTGAGACTCTTTGAGAGCGACGTGAATATATTTATTGTAACCTTGGCACAGTTCCCCGGGTCGTCTCTTCCTAGTTTCGAGGGAATCTCGTACCTCGGCGTTCACCTTCGAATCGCGAAACAAGACAGTTTTATCGCTAATGCGCTCTGCACCTTGAACAACATATGTTCCACGGAATTCTCCCGTATCGCGGCTATATATCGATGCCGGGTAACATTGTAATACGATACACGATGATATTTCATCTACTTCGCGGAGAGCGTGTACACACGCACGTATGGGAACCCGGTGAAATACAACGAGCGACGAGAATCAAGTCTGGAAAGACAGATGGAATCTGCATTTGATCGGTCGACTCGGTGGAGCCATGCTCGAACTATTCACAATTACCGGTCCTTCGCTTTCACACGTATTACTAGTATTGCTAGTATTGCGAAACGACATGCATTTCCTAACGTCGGATATTGTCAAACGCGTCGCTCGCGCGAAGTCGAGAACGAAGCAGCAGATATCAAGTCGAAACGATACGACACGAACGAATTGCCCTGCATCAACTTTTCCTTCGTTCTGCAAAGTTTACGATCGAATCTTAATCGAGGGAAACGTCTCGCTGCGTGAACGCATACCTGCCCGCTAGCCGGAATTCTAAAGAAAAGCAGAATGCAGGCATTGACGATGCACGCGTCGGTGACCAGGATGGCTGGCAATTTACAGCGGCGCAAAACGATTCAGAGGCAAGGAGCCTACGGTTGCCGTGGCTGCGTATGGATCGAGCTTTAGAGGCGGACGGTCTCGCGGATCTCTTTGTGCAACACGAGGGCCGCAGGGCCATCTTCTTTCTCCTCTCTGGACGGCCTCTGATACCTACTCCCCTCCTTCTTTCCCGCTTTCACGTCTTCCTTCTTCTTCAGCAGCAACGGCGGCAGCAGCGGCAGCGGCAGCTCTGTCCTCGCGACGAGTCATCTCGTTTAGGTCGTGCAAGCCGAGCAAAAGGGGGGACTGAGGAGAACTCGATGGCGCGCGGAGACGCCGGGCGCTCGACGAGCGGCGCGGAGCGGCGTTGAGGGGCGCGAAGGGGAGGGGAGGGTGCTCGCTAGCTGCGGCGTTGGTGCGAGGGGCGGGAAGGGCCGGTGAGCCAAGGAACGAGGAGAGGAGCCGAGAAGAGAGGCGACAGGGTCGAGGGAGAGTAGCTACGGGACAGAAGGATATATGGCTGTGTATTATGTACTCGGGGCCCGTGTTACATACGCCTCCGTTCCTCCGTGTATACGTAAGCGAGCAGGTGTGCGTTTCCTTGTTTATGTGTGTGTGTGTGTGTGTGTGTGTGTGTATCCCCCTGTTCCAGTGTAGCAGCGGCAGAAACGCGCGCGCGTGAGCCATCGTGTGTCCTGGCGCGCGGTGCACGCGAAGGTGTGTGCGAGCAGGGGCTCACTTCTCACGCGAGTCTCTCTAACCAGCTCGCATCGAAGATGCGGCGAACATGGAATCACGCGACTCGCGTAAAAAACGATCCTGCGATCCTGGGGACTAGAGACGGAAGGGAGGACGGGGAGGATGGCGTTGCGCAGCGAGAGATGGGATAATGGCACAGCGAATGGATGAACGCGCGCGCGAGAGTGGAGATCCCGAGCGGTATGTATTCGTGGGTGGAGTGGAGCGGAGAACAGTGGAGCAGACAAATTGCAACTGATAATTATCGCCAGTGCCGGACAGGGATATCGAGGTACGCTGGCCGCTGGCCGCCAGATAGAATGACCAATTTTTGATAGGTACAGACACGGGAAATGGGATGGAGGGAATAGCTGGAAAGTGGTTGATTCGATTGAATGACCGACAAATTGATGGCTTTCTGAAGTAAAAAGCTACCGGCCGATTTATTAGATGCGGTTAATGATCGCGATATAGGAAACGGTAAATGTGTCGTTAATGCATAAACCGTTGGTATTTTCATTGCGAGATATTCCTTCGGATGATTCTCTGTTGCATCAGATTTATCGATATGACTGTCGGTAAACCTATACCTACGTTATTATATATTTCAAGAGGCATGTCTTCCAGTTCCTATTTACTATGTTGAAAGAGGTCTACGGTTTTTGAGACACAATATGCATTAACATATGTCAGTCAGAGTGTCGTTAACATTACAACTTATATCTAATGACGGTTTATGTTTAATTTCTGATTCTCAGTGAATTATGATTTTCTTGTCGTTTCTAATCAATCGTGTATTACCGCTCAAGTATTTAAACAGCGTTACGTGACACGCAGCGTACTCTGGTTATCATAACTCGTTTTATGTTCACTGCCGAGTCTATTCACTGTCGAGGATAATATCGACTAAAGGTAATAGAAAATTTTATCGCGTTTAATCACTAGAAAATGGATGGACACTGATGAGGTATAGGCATAAATAAAAAATAAAATACAATTCTTTTTCTTGTCATTATTATTTTGAGAGCTAGCTAATTCTTTACCATTGTCATGTCACATGCGACGTTATCGATTCAGATTACAACTGCGCCACAAGCGAGGTACATACATGCCTTGTTATATAAGATGCATCATATATGCATCCTATATGCATAAATCCCACTTTATTATTTCAATACTAATCTGAATACGTTGTATATGTACATTTATGTATTTGTCCCCATTTACATTATGTTATTTTATTGTTTAATATATACTATGTTTTTGGATATAAAACAATTTGTCCATCTTTTTTTCCAAATGCTAAGATTGGTATTATTGGATAATATTCTAGAATCCAGTAGGTTAGGCCTAGAATTAAATTAAATGCTTCTCGTAACAGCCAACCAATAATTGGAACGTCTGAAGAAAACAATTTTATTTAAAATTCTAATTAATTTTTTGTGATCACGATTTTTCCTTCTTTAAAAAGAATTACTTACTGAATAAGTACAACGTAAGTTGACGATATTTTAAATTCAAATAACCATACCAGTTAAGAGATTTTGTATCTAAAAACGAAAATTACTTCATTATTATTATTTCATTATAGATTAAAGATGCAGGCAATGTGAAATCTTCTCAAAGAAACTAACATTTTACTCCTGTTAGATCGTACGTCTGTGCCAGAAAAGCATCCTCATTGATCGAAATATCGACGTACCACAATCCGTGCGTTATATTCCTCGTCATCCGTAGAAATTCTGGACGTGGATTTTCTAGATGTTTTGCCAGTATTTCGTTCTGAATTCTCCTACATAGTTCCGTCGTTTCCTTTATAGTTCTTCTACAAATATTTATTCTAAAAAAAAAAAAAAAAAAAAAAAAAATTCCAACGATTATTGAGCACTTGACGAATCGCAGAGGTCTAACTTTTACTTCGCTAGTTCCTTTTCCCTTCTACTACCTATCATCTATTCCCAACAAGTGACCGGTGACTTGCCACAAATGGTTGAGACCTTTCATCTGCTCGTACGTCCTACGCGCGAGTCCCAGTTTTTCGGGACATACGAAAATGAATCCTACGAAACCAAATTGCGTGATGGCCATGTCCTTCTGGTATATCCCATGCAGGCCTTGTTGAACGCGCCTCTTACTGACGTTCGCATGTCTTCGTCGAATCACGTTCAGCGCATTGAACCAACTTTGGGTATTGCAAGCAGATTTAACATGACCGGTTTCACCGAATGCTTTTATGGGATATTTAATGTATAATGTTCCGAAACTCACTTTGAATTTGGGGCGAGCATGTCGAAGCGAAAGAGCGCGTACATGAGCAATACCGTTTCGGCGAATCGCTTGTAAGATAACTTGAACGTGGCATTTTGTTTAGTGAACAAGAGAACCTACAAACATTCGTCATATTTATTTGTTATTGAAATATTCGATTCGCATTCTCTTCTGCTTTAGATAAGAAGCTCTTTCAGTTTTTTCATAGAAATGATTTTCAACCACTTCAGAAGGAATGAATTCGTTACCTCCAATATATCTGGGACGGCGATGATCGCTGTAAGACCTGTTATATTTCCAGCTCCAAATGCTAGTAAATTCCTCTTGTAAAATTCTTGTCCACTAGAATTATAGTTTAAATTGATTATTCGCGTGTTTTTTCTCTTTTTCTCTTTTTCCTTTGCGAGGAATCTGATTATTTGCGTTACGCTTTCCTACTCACATTTTGAACAACTTCTCATCGAACCAGTCAGGTAGATCATCCGGTGTTACTTTGACGAACTCAGAGTCAATGATTTCTCTGTCGTCCAAGATCAGTTGAAAGTGCTCGTCAACCGTCGCGGGCTGAGCTAATTAGTTCAAATTATTTCAAAAATTATGAATTCGTTTCGCAGACAAGAATCTGTTGTCTCGACATAATGTGATTTTTTTTTCACGATATTTATTATTTATAATTTCAATTAATTAATAATTAATAACTACCAACTAATTGAGTTACAACAACTGAAGTTGTAACTACTGAACTTAATCAAAAATTTACCGTCATTGATGTGTTTTTTATACGTCATTGCCGTCAATCTCACGTAGAATACGGCACTGATTTCGCTGCAATAAATCACTACTGCCCTTTTCTCGATTTAGGTCTACAAAAAGAGAAACATACATTGCATCAATTTTCAGTGATGAAAATTTAAACCTTGTACGCATCTCCGAAATTATACTACGAGCGAACGGTTGATGATTCTGCGTACAAGAACAAGTCGAAAAAAAGAATAACATTTTTTCATTCAAAGTTCCGTTTCCAAGTATCATCATCACTCGGCCGCTTGTACTACTGTTTTCGAAGACACCTTATATAGACCGATTGCAATTCATCGTCTTTTGAGTATCATTTAATACCAATTTATAATGAGTATCATTAAATACCAATTTTCTTCCTGCGTTCTATGAATCATTATTGCGCACTAGCATAGTTTTAAATTAATGGTCCGATTGATGCTGTAACACTCATCATGTGTGGCTCCTACATCACTGGTTTTCTACAAAACAGTAGTTTTCGAAACACGAAAGATGAAAACTCGCGACATATACTAAATTTTATATGTTATTTCGAATACGAAAGTATTTGGAGCACTTGCCGTGGAAAAATTTTTATAAATATATTGCACGTGTTATGGAGGAGTCTTTCGTAATTTTCTCAATGATTATATACGTCAAATTTAAGACCAAAAATTATTGATTATACACGTCAATTAATTATATACGTCAAATTTAAGATCAAAAATGTACAACGTAAATAACGATATTCAACATATCGGTTAGCGTTCGAATATTTAATGTTCGATTTTGGTATATTCAAAACAAATATCTTTCATTGTTGTTTTAAATTTTATTAATATGCACGCGTTTGTCGTCTCACACCATAATGTTTCGTACCAAACGCACACTATAAATAAATATTCATACAAAGTTTCCTTAAATATTGGAATAATTTTACGAGTCACTGTACTTAGAATACTTTCTCCTCTTCAATTGACTTTTCACTCTCGCAGATCTTGGATCGTAGGAATACACTGCCAGATGTACACTGTTAGAACGTCGAGTTTCTTAATCACACAATAGTCCTCATTACACGTATTTGTACGTTATATATAGCACACTCTATAGCGTACACAAATATATAACTTAAAAGTAACGCGTGATATTTCAAATTTATATTTAAAATTACACTTAGAATACGATGAGATTACCTTTTTTTTTTTTTTCTTTTTTAAATGAAGGTCATCCGTTTGTTTAAAATCGTGTGTTGTGCGGGATTGAACGAAGCTACGTTTTTGTTTTTTTCACTTGTATTCACTTGTTACATTTTACTTGTATATTTCGCAAAAGATCGTAAACGAAGGTTGCGGTTAGCAGCGCGTCTCAACTCTAAATAAAACGTCAGGCTGGCTATCAGCGAGCCAACAAACAAGAGAAAGAATCCAGCGCCTAGCGGCATCAATCCGAGAATTTTAAAACTTCCATCGTACCTGTCGTGCTCTACAGTGACCTCGCGGAGATTGTAATTGTCTCGTCTACGGATGACATCACGTAAATGCCAAATAATTATGCCAGTCTCCTTTAACCTGAGTATTATCTGCACACATAGCGAAAAAGTAAGAAGATTATTCTTCAGCAGAATAACACGAAGATTATTCCTAAGTCTGATAAGCAATTGAACAATTTGTTTCTTTTTATCTTTATAAATCGTTTTATCGTTTGTTTTCTAGATATCTGGACGATATCTGTACGATACGAATAATCACGATAAGAATAATGAATTTATATATATATATAACTTCCATCTGAAAAAAAAAAAAACAAAAACAAGATAAGCGAGAAATTTCTTTGTAACATTATAATCGTAACGATATATATCGTAACGATATAATCGTAACATTATAATCGTTCAACGATATAACATTATAACATGTTATATCGTTGAACGAGCATTTTCTTATTATTCAGCAGTAACGATATCTCCCTACATTATCGACATGATTCTGATATCGATAGAGGGACACGCACAATCGATAATTTACAACAGGCTTGTCCAACTAGCTCGTGCCCTTTTTTTTCGAGAGCCACAAAGAAGTACATACATACTTTTCTTCATCGTTTCTTTTCCCTTCGGCACGAGCCACACTATCGCATTTGTTAATCTGTTTGTCGTATGTCGTTCTTATTGACAATGAGTCGTGTTTCATATGCGTTGGTTTCACCGATTATGACATGATGGCAGACTCAGTCAGTTAAATGAGAGTGGAGCATGCGTAAAAACGGCTCGTATGACTCGCGAAGAGAGAGAAATTGGACAGACCTAATCTACAATAATCGATGTCGCGATATATATATATAACAGCGACTGTACATCTCATTTAATTTTTCATTTTCTATTGTTATAGAATAATATGTGGTTGATGATGTATTTCCCCGAAATAATCATAACGCATACATCAAAATTATTAATATTGTAATATTACAACATTGTTTAATTATAGTTTGATATTAACCCATTTGTATCCAAGCGCGGAATAATCCGCGAGCCGCGACTGTCTGCTATCACC